TTAATAATTTTCCCATAACCGACCGACATTTTTATTTCCATTTCTCTTCTGCCTGAATTTAAAGTACTTTCCCGAGCAATCATAAAAGCACTGTAACATCAAGCGTATTTTATTTGTATATACATGATGAGTGCTTTTTAACATATCTTTTGTAATAAATGACACGCAAATCGAGTCAAACTTTACTCGGCAACCAATATACATCAAGTCGAATACGATTTCTTTATTCAAAGAATCAACAGAACGTTCATAAAATTAGACTTTTCTATTGTCTCCCGTATGTACAAACACGCATCTCTTTATCTGTGTTCCAAGTACTCTCTTAGTGATACATAAGCCCATCCAATGTAACCACATAGTACTGTATAATTTTGTTTTTAAAACTATGTTTCGAGTACGTCATAATTACTCCAGCATCATCGGCCTCTGTACGTCTACTAAAGGCGTATTAACCGTGGCTCGCTTAATAAAATAAAGTTGATAAAAATTAACGGGGCAGGAAGTTGAAATTGTTGCATAATATTTTTACAACCTATGTTACATATTCGTCTCAAATTACCATCCACGTAATGCCGCATCAATGTAATAGTTTTTGTACAAGTGATTTTAAGTGCACACGTACACACATCCATGGCTAAAATTTCGGTGCCTGCGTGTGTTTCACGCTCGTTTTAATATGCACAAGCTTCTCATGTTCACGATAGTCAACGAGATATTAAACCACTGCGGTGACGTTAAGGCGCACTTTATCGTCACGCACATCACTTACTGATAGAATATAGTATTTCATTTACTTGAAAGTCGGAAAGTACTCATTTAAAAATAAAAATTAAAACAATACATGTAGTGTATCAATTGATGTACGCCGTGTCTATTTACATAACCAAATAATATTTCATTTCAATGTATGTCGAGTACATTATTATTTTAGCTAGAAAAGCAATTTTTTCACAAAGATGATTAATTATTTTTCACAAAGATAATTATCGGATTTTTATCTGTCATTTGTGTTTTATCATACCATATAGTGTTGTCAAATTTTAGGACCACGAAGTGCGCGAGAATTATATGCATTTTGAAATGCTCGCAGGTGAGGTGAAACCGGAAAGTACTATGAACAGATACTGCATATTGTGTATTACACGCTGAAATATCGATATAATATGCCAAAGTTTAGGAACAAAGAGTGAAATTGGTATCGTTGATGATTCGATTGTTGTTGAATCGAGCGATACAAATATTTAAATTTTGAACTCTTTTTTGCTAGGAGTGAATTAGTAGTGACAAAAAATTGATGTACAATATTCTAGATTATAATTTATAATAGTTAAGCTAACGAGTACATTCGATTAATCTTTTCACGATAAAAAATTATTTAACTGCAAATATTTAAATGCTCAAGTGTATAAGAGAATATGCATATATTGAAATGTGATATTTTGTAGTTTGACTTTGTAATTTATGCACTGTACACGTAATAAAGAAACATTAAGACATGACAAATTTACAAATTATTTCATTCATCTTTTAATGAGTATAATTTATAATTCTGTAACAATATAAGTTGAAGAACATGAGGCTTGCAAAACGATTGCGTTTTTCGCGAATATTCGTATTTGAGAGCCGAAAACAGCTCTGCATCAAAGAATGCAAGATGTTTATTTAGGCCAGTAAATTTTACAAGTCGAACAATTCTATGTGAGTAACACATACTTAATTAACATACACATAGTTATATCTTAATAGTAACGAGAAATGGAAGTTTCTGAAATGTTGACAATTTTTTCGATCTGGTGAATGAGAGATTTTTTAGAATTTCCCGCAAACAGTTTTTCGAGTAAATTTAGTTCATCAAGCGTCTTCAAAAGATTTTAACTACAGCTAAAAAAGTACCTCGTGAATGATAATTGCAATTATAAACTTGACGTTAAGTTAAGTGAAAATCAGCCCAACAATTCCAGAGGTGAATAATAAAGTATATATGAGCGCTCGTACCATCTATCGAACCATCGTTTTATTGGACAATATCGTGCGAATTTAGCATTGCGCTATCGTGAAAGTCTCGAGCGTTGAAAATTAATCGTGAAACGATGTCAAATGCAAAATCAACCCAAAGTTAATAAATTTTGTGTGCAGGCATATTGTTTAACCTACATGAAAGTATTAGAAAGCTCGTTAATGAATGTTACCTAAATGTCATTTTTATCTTCATCTTACGTATGTGCCAAAGTATTTTCTCTTATATCGCTTATATCACTTGAAAAGAAATGTAGCGAAGGCAGCATTTTCCTTCAATTTTTCACATTGGAACTCTACATTTTCCGTTACTTTTAAAAGTAATGTCGATATTTATTTTCTATTACTCATAAAAATACTGTTGTTTAACACATATGGAGCTCTGAATTGTCAAAGAACTAATGCACTTTTTTTTTTTTTATTTACTCTTGTTTACTATTTATGTCAGCGGTGACGAGTTTTTGTAGATTTAATGAAAAAGTTCGTATTCAAATTTTACAAAATTAGTTAATGTGCAAAGGAACTGATTAAATTGAAGGCGGTTGAGTAGTATTGTGTGAAATTAACGATCGTGTGTTATAAATTATGATATATAATTTATATGCATACTCGGTATGTAGTCCGTGTGACAATTGCCAATTTTGGATAGATAAAACAGCGTATGAATAGCTTATGAATAATATGAATGATACAACATCTTCTAAATATCATGGTAATTAGGTTAAAGTGATATATTTTTATTATTAATTAGGTTGTGGGTAGATGTAGGCGATTGATTGTAAAAGCATTAACAAAAGTTTAATCGCTTACTCTTATAGACTTCGATCGTCTTTTCATCTTCATAAACTGTTTTCGTTTTTTTTCAGTTACTGCAATATACTAGAATAATTAACTTTCTGATATTTAAAAATTATTTATATACGAGATAGCGTTAAGAAATATTAAAATATACATAATATTTAGGATTCAATTTAGCTGCATCATTTTATCAAGATATCTTATCTGCAAACTAATCATTACATATTTTTGTGATTATGTATTCTAGGTTTTTACGCCAAGTATGATAAGACATCGTTGTAGACGCGTTATTTGTTTATCACTTTCTATCAGTAAACTTTTTGAGGAAAAATAATCACGATTTAATTTAAAGCCTCAAAACAATGAGACAATTTTTCTTCACCAGTGTGTACATATTTAGCTATTATGCAAGTTCATCATATAGCATGACCAGCATTGATTATAATATTGACTTTCATATGGTCATCATGAAGATTTAACATTTAATTTACACAAAAATTTTATTTGTGATTTTCGAACATTTGATTAAACTTTCATTCGATAATACTCATAAAATGTTTGTTTGGAATTTTAAGGAATAATCATATAATTTTATGTCGTTTCATAAACTGCGAGTAGTGAGCGAAAGTGTGATTTAATATTATGTCTAAGTATTATTTTACTTACCGACAGTTATTAATATAAATAAAAAAAAGTAAATCATGTTGCGAAGGTCGCTCTTTATATACATCCGTAATTATTGAATAATCCGTAATGTTTTAACTAAACGAGTCCACGAGTCCAATATTAATAATGAAACACGTTGTCAGTTACCATGAGCTGAATTTGTCTTCATGTTTTCTCTACGATGGCCGACAATATTACATTTGTAGCACCAATAATTTTTTTGTATAATAGTTTTCTGTAATTTGAGCTTGTACCTTAATAAGTCTTACATAATACGAACAAAGTAGTGTTCTTTCTTTGTACTAAAATTTAAAAAAACAAAAAATCATTAAAATGTGTTGCTCTAGTATTGCAAAAACAAGATACGACAACATATAGGTGAATGAAGAAATAGAAAGGCGCGATTACAGCGGCAATTATTTTTGACATCCAGCAAGTAGCGTGATCGCCGCCAATTGAATTCTTTTCTCAGATGACAGACACAATGGGAGAGAAGGAGGAGACAGTGGAGTTGAGCAACAAAGACGAGGCAGTAGAACTGTCTCTTGGAAAAAGTCAAGCGCGGGAGAGAAACATTAGCCTCGAATACTTCGTTTAAAGCAGTAAATTTGTCCGGCTTTATCGAAAATTGTAACGAGCGTGCCCAAATTGGTGAATAAATGATGAGAATAAACTATGAACGAGATGGGAAGGGGTTTAAGAGAGGGAGCACGATAAAAAGTCTGTCGTTTCCGAGCATATTATCATTAGTTGCGATTGCATCAATAATTCCGAGCTAGTTGCTGGCGAAGATGCTGCGTTGGGTTCACGATCGGAGTATCCGGGGGAGGAGCGAGGAGCGGCGACGAGGGGAGCAATGAAACGTCGAACTGTGGTGTTGATGTTATAAAATATTAAAATTAAAAACACAGCTCTTGTTTTGTCCTTAGCGGGTGTTCGAGTCTTCCTTTTCAGTGCCTCGAGGGCGATCGAGGTGTCAATGGCCCCCGGGGTCCGCACACGTAGGTTGGGTGAACGCGCGAGTCGTTGTTGGAGGAGTTCATGTATCTGGTCGACCGTCGGTGTCGACGACAAAAAAGGGGATCAACGACGCGAGACAACGACACAGCAGCTCACTATAAATTGCACCCCCTTCCCCTCGACCAATGCCACAATCCGTTCGCTCGCTCGCCAAGTCCTTGAACAAACGGAAGGAACGGCGAATTTGAAATGACGATACGTCGCGACGACGACCGAAAACAAAGGAGACGCGCGCGATCAACGGCGATGCGCCTTATAGGACGGGGGAGGCGGAACGGAACGCGGGGCAACATCGTCGAAGAGGTCGGCTCCCTTCTTTCCCTCCACGATCGTCTCAAATTCTCTCGCTCACTCGCTCGCGCTCTCTCTCTCTCTCTCTCTCTCTTTCTCTCTCTCTCTCTCTCTCTCTCTCTCTATCCACTCGTACGCATTTCTATTCTCGTTGGCTTTCTTGGCGAGAGCGCGGCGGGCACTCCATCAGCGCCTAGTGACTCACTCACCCTCGGGGTAGGCTTGCTTGCGCTGCACGAGGTCGATGAACATGTTGGTGACGTTGTACAGCTGGCCCATGCCGCGCGGATTGAACTTCGTGGTGGCATTGTAGGCCAGTCCGGTCTCATTGACGCGGCTATAGGCTACCGACTGGAGTGCCATCGTCTCGTTCAGTTTGCGCGCGAGCCTCTCGCTCATCTCCGCGGAGCCGTGCCCGAGCAGCTGGAGAAGGAGGAGGAGGAAGACCGGCAGCAGCAGCAACGGCGGCGGCGACGACGCCAAGCCTAGCAGGGGACGCATGTCGACGCGCACTACCGCCGGGGATTAGGGTATCGGGAAGGACGGCTACCGAGGAAGCCGACACGTGCCGTTCTCGTTACTGCGCCTCGGACGCACCGCTGGCGACTGACTCTCCGCGCTCTCTCAGCTCTCTTGCGAGCCGCGGCTCCTCCACTCCCCGGCTGACAAAGCGACGGTGGCGATTCTCGCACGCAAGCATGCATGCACTCACACACTCGCGTACTCGCGTGCTCATGACCCAAGCACGCACGATTGGCAGCGCTTTAACCGTTAAGCCACTTCTACAATCCAGTACATGTGTCGCGCGTATCGACCGCGTCAGCCGATTGTGGATGTCCTCCGCTGGGAAGGAAGGAGCGTAACGGCGAACTCGAGCGCCTGCGCCGAGCCTCGAGGAGGCTTCGCTCTTC